GTTTTAAATCGCGTTTATTTATTTTTTCAAACAAACCAACGTTTCGTCTCCTTTGTAGGTCTCATGGTCACGGCTGACTCAGTAATTTAAAAAAAAATATACACGTGATTTAGATCCCAAAAAATAGTTTCATTTCCTACTTGTCGCGCTAATACTAGGAACATTTTTTAAATTGCCTTAAGAAGAAAAGGGAATCGAAATGAGATGTCTAATTCAGCGACATGTCATCCGGACTTTGGGTCCAGTAAGTGACACACTCTTCAGTGAACATGTCGACGGGACAATCCTCTTAGAACGCTATCCTTTATCCTGGAGATATAGCAGGAGCAATCGTAATGATACTTGCAAATAAAAATGAGTGGAACTTTTTTCCTTTAAAAGAAATTTCATGAGAAATTTCTTACATATCGAGTTCTTAGGTTTTCGCGATTGTTACACATAGGAAATGAAACTGTTTTTCCGGATTTAAATCGCGTATATTTGGTGTTGTTAAAAATAAGGTATTTAATTAATAACTATTGTAAGTATAGTGAAAAAATAGGATAGTTTGCATTAATATTAGATATAACTGGTTGAAGACTGTACCACCTCAGTCAACCGTGACCATGAGACCTGTAAAGGGCCCGAAACGTCGGTTTGTTTGAAAAAACAAATATACGCGACTGAAATACGGAAAAATAGTTTTATTTCCTAAATTTCTTACAGTGTAGCAAAATGATATATACTCAAATAAGAGCGTGGGAATTTATGTTGCGGTATCCTACCAGGGTTAATTAGATAATTTATTTGCATAAATTGTTTGATGAAATGTTTTAAATATACACCATATCTTCACATCCAGACATTCAGACGTACGGCGGGATATCATCTTAACTTGGTCGATATTCCCTTCAAGCGTACTAAGCGCTTTTCATCTTCTTTTATTATGCGCACAGCCAAGGAATGGAACTCCCTGCCTGTGACTGTGCTTCCGAGCTCATAAAACCCGAGTATCTTTAAGGCGCGATTGAATAGGCACCTTCTGGGCGAGCTCGTTCTATAATAGATTCTATCTTTGCTCCAGAGCAAGGTCTAGGCCAAAAGCAAGTCCATTTAATTTAATATGTATAATATATAGATATATATATATCTACCACATGATCGTAATGAAGGCCTTACATTTTCACTTACAATTACAATTACGCTTATACTTACACGTATACCTACACTTACGTCTCGACATAAAGGCAGGTCAGAAACCTGACCGAAAAACGCTATAATAAGCATATACTTACCTCATACTAAAAGCAGAGGTAGGCCTCAGGTGAATTATAATTTGTGATGTGTAATTCAGCGAAATGTCACCGGCTTTTAGGTCAAGTGGGAGGCTTCCCTTTTTAGGATACTATCCTCTGTGCTAGGCAAAAATATTTACATAAGTAAAAGTTATTTCATTAAATTATTAATTTGCAAATATGAAAAAACTTTTACCATAGACAATTCAAACACTCAATTCAAACACGCATAGCCCCGCACTAGGGAAACCCGGTATCGCAGATGCCATGGATTCACACAGGATACATACAGTAGGTAGACAACTACAAATTACACACAACGAGAGAAATAAATGTAGTCCATACAAATATTTATCTTGGCCCGGAAATTGAACCCGGGACCTTTGCATGGCAGTCCAGCATGGTAACCCTTTGGCCACACAGCCAGTAGACACTCGTATTTCATCGTAAGAATACCATACATTCTGGCTCAGTGAATATATGAAAAGATTGTGAGGAACATCTCTTTATTACGAATACCAACTCATAGAAACTTTTTATATTTGCGACCCCGTGAGCGCGACTCTGCTCAATTTTTTATAACACCAAGTAAGGGATGAATAAGTCTTGCGCCTGGTAGTAAGCGGCTTGCCTGTGCATAACAATTGCAGTGGCGCTCAGAGATTTAAATCGCAAACATTTGAAAAGCAAAGCCGCTGCCTGCCACCCTGAGACATACCTTGCCAAGTCCCATGTGTCTTTAATTCAACAGCACCCTCACCCTTTATGGAACGCAGTAATGCTCACATTATTGCTTGACGGCAGAAATAGTGGATCGCAGTACTTCGCCGGACGTACACTTTCACAAGGAGTTCTACTGCTACTAAATCAAATGTTCAATCCAGTACAATGAACCATCACTTGTTACTAGTGTACTATCAAATCATACAAAAATGATATAACCATCTGTAGAAATCGGTCCATAAAAAGATATCACAAGAATACACTCAGTCCCATTACGTCACTAGGACAATTCCTTTAACTATATTCATCCGCTCGGAAATATCGAAGGGACATTGTGGAACTAATGGAAAGGGGCCACAGTGGATGAAAGAAATCAGACAGTTAGTTCTTTTGAAAACTAAAAGATTTTAAATAGCCGTGAAAGGATGGTAGGGGTGAAATATAAGTCAATGTTAATGGGGATGGATATTTATGTTAGTAAAGTGGTGGATTTTTTCTTAACTATGAATAATTTATTTGCATTTTGATAACTTTCGAAATATTGGCATCTATCTTTGTTTTTCTTAATAATAAACTGAAACTATATAAGTAAGATATTAAAAAAGCTGTTTTAGGGGGATGTCTCATTTCGCCGATTCCAGACATGTTAATAAGCCAATTTTTTTCTATAATATTAAGTGATGGGAAGAACAAGTCAATTTCGATAAAAATTTCGATAACGTTAGTTATGATAAGGGCAGTTAAGGTCAATGAGAATATTGATTTTTGTCTTGGATTACTGGCGCTATAATCTTTATCTTTTGCTACAGCTTTATTATTAAGTAAAGTCTAACTTTCTTTTGAACTTGAAGCGGTGTAATGTTCAAGTTGTAATATAATTACAGAAGTAATTAGCGAAGCGATGTTTTCTGTGGAAACTCGCCTGGCGGAGAGGTTACTTTGAAGAGTTTATGATATTTTCTTTCGTCTTGTTTGTATTTACACTATTTAACATTATATCAACCAGTATCTTCGCTAACTGCCGCATGAGTATTTTTGTCGTGACAGAATATAATTTTGATCACCAATCTTTGTAAGTCTACCTGTCCTATTACATGAATATAAGTCATTGATAGGACTATACACATTGTGACGAGCTTTATTATATAGCTCAACATGTAGAGTGCTTAACTGACAACACGTTGACAATGAAACTATTTTTTCTTTGTTACATTTGTTGTTTTTTCAAACAAACCATCGCGTCGAGCCCTTGTTTGGTCCCGTGGTCGCGGCTGATTAAGATAATTAAGTCATGATCAACGAATTACAACACTAATAAAAATTAATCTTTATTGACCAAAAACGGACTACATTAGTTTACATTTACACTATAGTTACTGCGTTTCATAATGATATTATCAATTAGTTCCGGATATACTTTTCGTCCGGTAAGGTACTGCCACCTGTTTCTGCCGCCAAGCAGTCATGTTAAGTTTTAAAGGGTAAGGGCGCTGGTGAAATTACTTGTCAACATAATGTCTCAGGGCGCAAAAAGTTATCGACTAATTTCGTTTGTAAAATCTTTATACCTCCCCTAACAAGTTGCCATTTTTTGGATGTGGCCTTTTTATACAAAGGGTGCAATATGGACAAAATAACTAATTTTTATGATCGACTTTTTATGATATCAAATGACGGGACGAACTAGTCGTGGGCCTGGTGGTAATCGTCGTGCCTGTCAAACAGTTGCAGTGTTACTCAGAGCTTTAAAACGCAAACATCTGAGGACCACTGCCACTGCGTCACACAAGTCCACATGGGACTTGTCAACTTACGACTCAGGGTGACGGGAGCAGTGGCAGTTGCCCTCCGATCTTTGCGTTTTAAAGCTGTGAGTGACACTGCAATTGTCAAGAGCAGGCCTGTCGCTTACCATCAGGCGCAAGACTTGTTCGTCACATCAGTTGGTTTTTCGCGGTCCCTGCACTAAGCATATACCCGTATCGCAGAGACCTAGGATATGTTCAAAAACTTTACATTTATGGCACACAGTTTAAATAAAGTGTAGGTGGTTAATGATGAAATTATGACTAAAATTAATGCAAACCACCCAATTATTTACTACACCAGTAAGTACAAAAACATTTAATTTAAATACGTCATTTTTATTTTAAGAAATAACATTTCAATTTACGCTGCGTACGTTTTGCGAGTATAGAAAATGCAAAAATATCTAGTTCGAAATTAACCACGTCTAAAAGGTAGAGGTTTAAAATGTTGCCCATTTCATAAATTCAATTTCATAAAAATGTAATATGTGTAAATGTAATTTTTGGAATCCAAATCTTTTTATCTAAATCACCCACTATTAAACCGTTCTAGGATTTAGGGAGTCTAAATGGAAAATTTAGGGAGTCCTTTTAAATTTTTTGAATCTTATAGGTGTTAAGATTTTCGAGGTTAATTTTGTAATAAAAATAAAAAGTGAATGACTTAAAGTCAGGCCACACAGACGCGGTATAGCGGGAAAACATCCGTCCATCCAACGGTTGGACCGGGGCGGACCGCTTTTCCCGCTGGTTAAAGACTTCACACGTCTTCCGAGAGTTGTAAACCTTCTTCAAAGCGCAGGTTTCAACACAATGTTTTTCTTCACCAAAAAGTTCATAGTAGATTTAATATATATTATATGTTATATTTCGCACATAACACACAGACGTGGTCAAACCATTAGGCTAACGCGGTTTTTTTTTAAATTTAATTTATTATTTTCCATACATTACATTTACATTACATACCAGAATTACTAAGTTGTTAATTTAATGTCAAATGAAAACTAAGAATTATTATAATAATTTTGCCTATATAATGGAGATAACGAACGTAAATAAACAACAAACCTCAGAAAATAGTACACTATTATATAGTGACAGACAGAAATTAAAATTGTAATTTGTCAACAGCTCATTCTACTTTCAAATAGTGCTACAGATACAGACTAAACAGAAATCATTGCAAACATACCTTTTAATTTAAATCGACTCCCAAGGTGTTGATGTTATTCTCCTGAAACAAATTGAAAATGTAATTGAATAAGCTGGAAAATCACTCAATAAGGTACGAAACTTGTTGGACAAAATTGGTTTCTTTTTTAGCACTATATTGTGCTTTGAATTTACCACCTAAAACGAACAATCGGAGTATTTTCGATCTTATATATTAAAGTCGTACTAAAACTCTCATACGGATAGATTAATTGGACAGAGGTATCGTTCGTCGCCGCGAGTGACGTCACCAGCATGTCGCACTTAACGTCTCGATTGTAGAAGATAGCCACATGAAAAAGACTTTATAAACATTTTTGATTTTATATTGCGTTGATATTTTTCGTAAGGTTTTATTCGTTTTTTTTTTGGGATATCTAGGAAAAGGTTTGGGGATAAGCAACACCCTACCCAAAACAGTTATGCTGGCTTCCCATAGCCCGTGGTTTTACAGACTGCGCCACTCGAGTTCGCGCCAATGCCCCGTGGGAAGAATGCCGACGGAGCCAGAGTGGGCTTACATGTATGGGCCTGTAGCGCGATCACAAAGCGGTGCGGCCTGTGAAATCACGGGCTATGGGAAGCCGCCTTTACAGAGCAATTTAGAGCTTTAAATCGCATATGAGCACCCTGGGACATAAAGTTGACATGTCCTTTCCGAGCAATGTTCAAAGTACTGCTTATCCGCAGAATTAGGTACGGTGGCAGTACTTTCCCGGACAAACTCTTTCACGAGGAGCTCTATTGCTACTAACGATTAGTAGTCTGTGCTTGCAAACATAAATTCAAGTTCCTCGCCAAGTTCTTCTAATGACTAAACTATTAAATATACAATTTATATAATATTCATTATATTTCATGTACAATTTGATTCAAACGGTGTCTAGGCTAGTCACACCAGTGGTGTACAGAAAGGAAGCATACTTGGCCCAGATTTGTTTCGTAACTCAGTATCAGATAGAAGTGAACGGAACAAAAACGTCAAGGATCCAATAGCAAAATGTTTGCAACAATTGAGCCTTCGCATATTTTATGGAACTCGCAATCACGCTCTAAAGTACCTGTATAATCTGCTTATTTTCGATACTAACCTCAAGTGTTACAGCACTATTAAATTTATTGAAGTGTGTAACATTAGATAAGCAAACTATAGCGGCAGAGGGCTGGCCATATCTGTGGAAGAACCGGTAATGATGGAGGAAGCGAGTTCTTCCGTGGAGACCACGGCTCGGAAATCGCAGCGTAGGACGCCGTCGGGCCAGATGGAGTGACGATCTGCGAAAGGCTGCTGGCAGCAGATGGTGCACATTGGGAGAGGCTTATGTCTAGCACTGGTCTAAGATAAGCTGATGATGATGATGACGTTACTGGCTGTAAGCTTTGTGATAACGATAATCAGTCGGCACAAAAATTTGCCTATAATCAGTGGCGTAAGCTGTGGGGTGCAGTGGGGGCCGTGGCCCTGGGCGGCCATAGGGGCTGCGGCGAGCGCGGCCAAGCAAGTAAATATTTTTTTTATTTAAAATTAGATAAAATATTTCGGCGACAACAGGCGAACATAAAAACACAATCAAGGCGCAGGCGAACTAACTATTGTTGTAATCGAGAAAATAGAGGGGGCAGCACATTTAATGTTGGCTCCGGGCGGCAGGAATCGACGTTACGTCATTGCCGATAGCCATGTTCGATTTAAACGTACTAAATACATACATTGACGTTCAGTTTCACTACACAAAACAACTATTAGAAAATAGCGTTACTTTGCTATGCTAAACAACGCTATGTTTTGCTACGTTGGTTTGCTAATGACAGTTAGCAGATGTACTAGGTTATTGCGTGTTTGTAATGAATATTATGTACCTATTCTGAGTTCAATCATGTAGTTATATAATATAGTTCAGGCTGTGCAGCCAATATTAAGAGGGCGTAATGAAGTATGCAATATTGGCTGTAAGCTTTGTATATTTCTTTCAAACTTTTTTTTCATGATGTTTCCTTAGAATAATAACGCATAGAATGATAGTTTCATATCAAACGACCTGTATAAGTAAGGCAAAAATCAAATTCATGTAAGTAGACTAGTTTTAGTAGTAGGTTTATTTTCGGTTTTAGTGAATATTTATATAAAAATACAAGTTGAAACGTGTTACTTCCTTGTGGAATGTGATGTTAGTATCCATTTTATATTTGTCTGACCTATTTTTACACTCATTTACCGCACATTTCGTCATTTTTAGCTAAAATTCTTGAGCTGTTCGCGGTGCAAGTTGGTCTTGAGCACTGAAGGCCCGCCCGCTCGTGTAGGCCCATTGGGAGCGCTTCAATTTGCCTCCCTTAGCGTGTGCGGACTAGGTTTCTATGCGTTATTATTCTAAGGATGTTTCACTAAAATTAAAAGTCGTGGCCTGAGCGCCTCTTTTTTTGCTACGAAGTATGTTTTATTTTAATAAAATATTTTTTTTAATACAGTTGCTCAAAACGTGGTATTTTTCGTACTACAAATCGTGCCGAAAGTTGGATTTTTCGCACTAGCGCAAAAAGCATTTTTCCATTTTTTTTTTCTAATTTACTGTTGTTTCAAGTCTTAAACATAGAACTAAACAGGTTGTATATTTATTTAATATTTATGTGCTTTGGGACGTAAGTCATTCGTCATTAAAACTTATATTTACTTACAAACATCTTATAAATTGCATAGGTGTTTTATAAAACAACGGGTTACATTTAAAAATACCAAAATATTTTCCATAAAGATGGCTGATTGAGTATTAACAATAACCGGAGGTGAGTATTACGCGAGACCGCTGCGCGCCGCGCCACTACAATAGTAATTTTAATGTGGCTGAATACCGGCAACAGTTGCCATTTTACTCTGAATTTTTATCAGACGAAGAAATGAAATGCGTTTTTTTAAAATACTGTTTTATTTTACTTTCAATGTAGTTTTTTCGCAAATGTATTAAGAACGTCGTTTGATACACGAGCGGATTTGACATTTTCACTTGTCTCGAGTGTTCAAGAAGCCTCGAGACTCGTGGATAATGACTAACTTTCCGCACTTGTATCAAAAATAACCATAGTTTAATAGTGTAGAGTCCGAACTGCTTTATAATAAATTTAGTCCTATTCTGTTTTTACTAAAGTTTAATAGATATTATTATATTACATGTTTTACAAGTGTTTTTTTATTTTATTTTTATCCATTGTGTTTTTTAGTCTCCCCGAGAAGACGGTAAATTGAATAACTGACTGCTCAGGTGTAAAAGAAGGAATGTGATTGCTGATTGAAGAATTAGTAATAATAACGCACTCCCTCAACATAGCCCTAGGGAAACCCTATATCACGGGTGCCATGCACACACACATAGACTACTACAAATTACACCCCAAACTCACTAGAGAAATAAAAGTAGGCTATACAAATATTTCTCCCGGCCCGAGCATCGAACCTGGCACCTCTGCGTGGCAGTCAGGCATGGTAACCGTTCGGCAACGTACGCAGTTATTTATTAATGAACATTTGTAAATGTTGGACTGAACAAACACAACGTATAAAGGACCACCTACACGATCAAGCTGCAATGGGAATAAACTTGCACAAGGCAAGTAGAGATGTGTACTGTAAAATGGTAACATGTTGATCGCGCACAAGTGTCCCTTATACATATAAATAAAATATTAAATTACGTCGGGACCGCGACGGGTCAAATTCCGTGTATTTGCGGCCGTCCCGTGCCCGCGTTCGTTGTGTTGTCGTTCACATCAACACAAGGAATTAGACCCGCCGCGGTTCCGACCCGACCCGCGCCCGCTCTTTATGTATTTCACGCTTTACAGAGCATTGTAATTAACGTCGAGAATGCGCAGAACTAGAACCAATTTCATATAACGCCGACAGTTGTAATCGCCGAACCACCGATATCGTTAAATGCACATTTTTTTTATTTGTATATGGGACGATGGAATAGAAATGTTAAGTATCCCTAGAGCGAAGAAAGCTGGAAAGGCCTGTAGGACTTCAGTGCAGGTGATTGGAAGAAGTTGGTTCATGGGTTATATTTTCGAAGCATAAAAACCGTAGTTACAGCCGTTTTACCCTCTGTGGATGACCTACGGAAGTACTTTCGAAGTCTGTCTACGAAAAGACGCCCATCCGAAACTGTCAAACGACCCGTACGAGACTGTCAAATCCCGTTATCGTACATTCATAGTTCTAAACACGATCAAAACTCAAGTCTGTAGGTCATCCAAAGGGTGGAAAATTGTCGTAAATACGGATTTCGTGCTTCAAGAGTAGGTACCCAGAACCGGGAGGCGTGGCGGAATCTGGTGTCAGAGGCCAAAACCCACTTTGGGTCACTGCGCTACCCAAGTTAGTAAGTTACCTCTAAAGCACATTTTAGATTTATTTTTACTCCTCTAAAACGACAATAAGCAAACTTTGAGGTCGGGTTTTTTAAATAAAAAAATGTATAATTGCATTTACTATTTCCATTGTGATAAAAAATAATTAGTAAATATATATATATTGAACTATTTGGAATTACTTCTATAATATCGAAAAAATATGTCTCACACAGCGTTTCATGTCTTATTGAAACAGTTCCCCATACGAGGGGAAGACAACTGAATTAACTGGCCATTTTTTAGTAATGGCGCTCGAACGATATTGCTTTTATCAATAGAATGGGAATTATTTCCTTTACTCTGATTGGGAAACGCTTGGAAAAATGGCATTCACGTTAACATAAATACAAAGAATAGAATAACATAATATTACAACAAATTGTACAACACAACAAAACAAAAATTTGGTCACGCAT